CCAGACACAAGACATGTCCTGCTACAACCAGTGCGTGCCACGCCTGCCCTGCCAGCCCTGCGGCCCCACCCCTCTGGGCAGCAGCTGCAACGAGCCCTGCGTCAGGCAGTGCCAGGACTCCAACGTCGTCATTGAGCCCTCTCCCGTGGTGGTGACCCTGCCCGGACCCATCCTCAGCTCCTTCCCGCAGAACACCGCCGTGGGATCCTCCACCTCCGCTGCCGTTGGCAGCATCCTCAGCTCTGAGGGTGTGCCCATCTCCTCTGGAGGCTTTGGCCTCTCTGGCATTGGCAGCCGCATCTGTGGCAGGCGTGTGTGCTAAAGCTGCTGGTGATGGTCCTGGAGGAAGATTCCCAGAGACCGAGATGGTAACATCCTGGGAACCAAGCATTGGGATCTTGTAAAAAAGGGCCGAGTAGTGTTTCGAAAAGGACCTGCTGGTCCTTCTGTCTGTGTGGAACAGGTAGATGGATAGCAGTCAGCGTGTTCAGCATGTCACACAGTGCAGACTGTCATCTGCCCCTGCTGCTTCCTGCACCAGGACCTCCCCTCAGAGTGACCTCATTTCCTTTTTCTCCCACATTAAAGTTTTATTGCATTCCAGCTTGTGCCTCTGCTTTGTCCTTCCCCAGGGGACACTCCAGACAACACCTGCCAGGAGGAAATGTGCTGCTCTATGGATTTCAATAGGTGTCTTTGCACATTGGAACACTACACCTTTCCTAAAGGTGGTGACACCGCTGTTGGCTCTCTTAGAAATCACTGTCACTCATGCATGAGGGGGGCGCCCATGAGTCCTGCAGTGTCCCTGGCGTTCAGACCTACCCTTTTGCTTCTCTGTCCTGACGTGCCTCCTTGGCCTCGATGTACACCATGCAGAAGATGTTCACTCTTGGTCTTGACTGCAGAGCCAGAGCTTCAGGAAGACCTGCGAGGGCATGAGCTCCACAAGCTTGTTGAAGAGAGAGAGGGCAGAGCAGGAGCAGCAATTCCTTCTGCTCTTGACACAGTGGTACTGAGCAGAAAACAGTATTGGGACTGGCTAAGACGGAGACATTTTTCTTCACCACAGCCCATATGATGTTGTGTTCTAAAGGTGTTGTTAAACAGCAGAGGTAGCGCAACAAGATTTTAGCACAGCATCAAGGTCATTTCAGTTTCCCATTCTGCACCTGCACAGAACTGACTAGGAGTCAGAAAGAGACTAAAAGGACATACAGTGTGGAGGGTGACCCAAATTGACCACGGGAATATTGTGTGCCACATCACATCATGTTCGTCTATAAAACAGGGAGCAGTCATTCCCAAGTAACAGTTCTTTAGAGTCTGATTGGGCATTCATCTTCCTTCTGGCAGGTGGTAGGGAAACACTGATTTGACATCACTGTTTTTTCTTTTTGTTTACCCTTCCAGTTTTTTTTCTTTCTTTTCTTTTCTTTTTTTTTTTTTTTAAAGCTATCTTTATGCAGACATAAAGACATAGTGTTTTTCTTACCTTTGCTTTTACTTTTATCTCCCCTGCTGATTGTGAGTGAGCATGCAACTTGTGGGTGCTCATATGTTTTTTATTTCAGTCAGAACACCACTAAGCCATGTGGGCAATTCATGTCCTGCTACTTCCACCTCTGCCTTGGGCATCCTCGTAAAATCTATGGGCAGGGGAGGTCAGGAAGAGAATACGGGCAGGAGGAGATGCAGGGAAGCATTCTGAATGCTTCAAAGGGGCGTCCAGATGGTCTCCCAATTTGTTCAGTTGCCAGCAACAAAGGTTCCAGAGAGGTTTGCATCTATGGATTTGGAGCTACTGAATTGCTCACCCCTGTGAGTCCTTACTGGCAGTTTTCCTGCTGTACCCCAGCCTTCATGTCTCTTTGTGAAGCATTGGAACAAGTTGAAGTTATTTGAAAGATGTGTAGATGTGGTGCTTCTGGTCATGATCTAGTGGTAGATTTGGCAATGCTAGGTTAATACTAGGTTAGTCATGGTCATCTTAGAGGTCTTTTCCAGCCTTAACGATTCAGCAATTCTCCATATTTCAAGCCCTCTATAACAGCAGATCAAAGGAAAGGCCAGAAAGAACTGCTTTTGTGGCAACTCACCAAAAAAGATGTGATTCCCAACAGTTTCTCCAGACACCAACATCAAGAGAATCCTGGGCTACATGACCTCATGCATAACCACAAACTTTTAGGAAGTGATAAACCCAGTATATTCAGCTCTTATCTGACATCATCTTGAATACTAAGCCCAGCTTGGGGCTGTGCTGAAAGAAAGACATTCACTAGGCAGAGCAAGTTCTACTCAGCTTAGGCAGAGTAGTCAAGGGCCTCAAGCACTTAACCAGTGAGAAGTGGCTGTGGGATTGCTCTGCATGGGAAAGAGCAGGCTTTGATGGCAGATCTAAGAGCACATTTGGAGTAGATGCAGTGAGGACTTCCAGAAGACAGAACAAGGCTCAGTGCTGTGACAGTACTGGAAGACAAGAGACAGTAGACTTAAGGTTTGCACAGAATAGGAGGAAAAGGGACACAAGAACTGTCAAGCAATGGTACACTTGGAGCAAGTGGTTGGACATATAGACTTCCAGGCGTTCTTTCTACCCTGATTTATGCTATGACCTTATGGCCATTGGACCTTCTTTGTGTGACTGTCAGCTAGGGACAGGACTAGACAAATGGCTCAGCTTCCCAGCCAAGGAACTAGGCACTTCTCTGGATATGTCTTGGAAGCTCTGTAGAAGGGCAGAAGAGGTCACAAAATGCAAGATAACAAGATCTGTGATCCTTATTGTTATCAAGCTTTTGTTTTGGAGCTCGTCTTCTCATTGCCCTGCATATCTGATCTGCTTAGTTCTTAGAATGAGTTTTCCTGTGTTCTCCTAGGAATTTCTGGCCTCCTGCCTTCTCTATGACACACTCTTCCCCCTTGCCTTACTTCTTGCTTCACAATGTTGAGCTTATTAGAGTATAAGAAGCAACATGTACAGCAAAGTGAATAGTAGTGGTGGAGTTACATTGGATAGTTCTGTCCAGTCCTAAAAAGAATAATAGAATCCAGCATAGTTTGGACTGGGAGGGACCTTAAAAATCATATAGTTCCAAACCCCTTCTGAGAGCACAGACACCTCCTACTAGATCCAGTTGTCCAAAATCCCATCCAATCTGAACACTCATAAAGTGGGAGCATCCATAACTTCTCTTTGCAGTCTGTTCCAGCACCTCAACAACTTCTTTGTGGAAAAAAAAAAAAACAAACATATTTCTAATATATTATTTAAACTCTTTTTTTTTTTTTTTTTTAATTTTTTTTTTATTTTATTTTAGTTTAAGACCATTACCCCTCATCCTGTCCTCCTGTCCTGTTATTACAGCATTACAGTCCCTGATAGAGTCTCTCATCTGTCCTGTGGTCCTCCTTTAAGTATTGAAAGTCTGATATAAGGTCTCTTCAGGGTCTTCTATAATCAAAGTAACCTCAAATTTCTCAACCTGATCCAGTCCTCTGACCATCCTCATGCCCCTCCTCTGGACACTCCAAAAGCTCCAAAACTTCCTTGTGCTGCTGGCCCCAGGCCTGAACACAGTATTCCAAGATGGAGCCTCACAAGGACAAAGTAGAGGGGGACAATCACCCTCTTCACCCTGGTGGCCATCCCTCTTTTGGTGTAGCCAATACTGTTGGCTTTCTGGGCTGCAAATACATATTTATGGCTCATCTCAAGTATTCTATCCACAAGTAGTCCCTAGTACTTCTCGGCAGAGCTACTTTTCATACACTCATCACTCAGCCTGTATTGATGTTTGGAGTTGCCATGATCTGGGTGTTGACCTTGAAGTTGGTCTTGTTGAACTGCATGAGATCCACATATGACACCTCTTGAGCTTTGCAAAATCTTTCTGGATGGCATTCCCATTCCTTCCCTCCAACAAGTTGACAGCACCATGTAGCTTGGTGTCATCTGCAAAATTCAGAAATGCATGCTCAATCCAACTATGTCACTGACAAAGGTGATAAAATTTAGTGATCTTAGTACTGACACCCAAGATATCTGCATTGAAAGTCATTTCTTAGGGAAAAAAAAAAAAAAAAAAAAAAAAAAAAGAGAGAGAAGAGAGAGAGTAAAATGTACATGCAACTAAACATAATCAATGCAAGTCTGTGTTAACTATTGCTCATCAAAACCAGTGCCATCAACACACTTCCGGGACTACTGAAGAATAATGTGTTTCTCTCCAGGCTTAAGTAGGAGAGTGTCTTTAAAGGGAAAAATAAGTATAGAGGCCCAGGATAGTATGAAGCAGAACTTTAATTAACTTAAAGAAGTAAAAATTTTCCTGTGACTGGAGGCCACAGTGGAAGAGGCACCACAGAAAGATGAGAGTCTCTGCTATACAGCCAGCTATTCACCTGCTCACTCCACAAAAGGAGAAGGGCCAGTAGCTTGTTCCTAGCCAAGGCTAGACCTATCCTTTTCCTATTGCAAGGGGTGCTAATATATCATCAAACCCATGGAAAACAAGATCCCAAAACTTTGTCTCCAGTTCTCTACCAACTTCAGGGTCCATTGGGGAACATTATTGAGAGCAGTGGCCAACAGCTTTAGCAGGGGAGGCACCTCCTGCCACAGTTGAGGCTGATGAACCTGGAGAAGCCAAAGCCAGAGAGGCCAAAGCCTCCAGAAGAAATAGGTACACCCTCAGAACTGAGGATGCTGCCAACAGCAGCAGAGGTGGAGAATCCCATGGTGGTGTTCCTTGTAAAAGAGCTGAAGATGGGTCCGGGCAGGGTCACCACCACGGGAGAGGGCTGGATGAAGATGTTGGAGTCCTGGCACTGCCTGACACAAGGCTTGTTGCAGCTGTTGGCCAGCAGAGTCAAGCCACAGGACACATGGAAGGCATGGTGGGCACTGGTTGTAGCAGGACATGTCTTGTGTCTGGTGGGGCATCTGTTGGGACAGAAGGCCATGCAAAGGAAGGAGAGAGAGAGGAGCATCCTGCCATCCCAGCAGAAAAGAGCCAAGGCTCAGTGCTGACTGAGGATATGGAGGCTTTCTAAGGAAGCCCACAGTCTTCTCCTTCCCTTTGGCCCCATTGACCCTGCCAAGAGCAATCAGGCACAGACAGGTTGCTGCCTATCTTGTGGCAGAGGAAACAGCTCATGCAAGACCCAGCATCACTTGATGCCACACAACAGCTGCCCCCTTCCCTCTAACAAGGCAGCTGTCATTCCAAGACTATTTGTAGGGTTTCATATGTGCAGAGAAATCTTATAGGAAGAGGAGTTGTTGAAAGGGCTTCACTCACCTTGTTCCCAGGGAGA